AACTGAAAACACTGTCGAATTTACCACAAAACTGGCTATGGATCAAGCCATTATCACAGGCATTAGTTGGGAGTGTACTCCCCTTGGTTTCAACTTATGTTCTCCCTGATAATCACATGAGCATCATTCGCTGTTACTCATCTTGTAAATACTCATTTAGCCGAAGATATCTTGCAGCACTACATCACCCATAATTGTGGAACATAGGCTTAGTCGATTTCTACGTCTTTTTGGGGTGCTTAGAATAAAACCAGACATTTTAAAATTACTTATACGGCCTACAACTTGAGCCGTTAACCAAATGTTATTACTATGCATTTTAATGTAACTTGTTAAAATATCCTTTCACCAAATTTTCGTTTTAAGCGTGTTAAGCGTTAAAACAGATGCTTTATTACGTGTATTTCCTGATCAGTTGCTGCCTGCTTTTTGATTCAATTTCAGCTTATCAATACTCGGAGGATACTTATTATTCTTTGTAACCTCCGGCGGGCGACAACCCCATCCAATTCGGTATCGAACCAACATCACGTTGATTCTGGTGGGAGAGTAGTGTAGTAGCAGTGGGCCTTACCCAAAAAATCCTCAATGCTGAACACGAGATATTTGAGAAAATAGATGTTCAATATTCAACGTGGAGAAATACCTAACGATTGAGAAGGAGGGAACAAGGAATTGAATTAATTCAATTTGACCGGATGGCACGGCTCAGACTTGCAAGCGTGGTCCTTGCTCAATGTCACCTTACATCTTTTATTCATATTAAATATATTGTCCTATCCCTAGCTTAAGCTTGTTCTCCATCATGTATTGGTGATTGTTACGATACAATGAGTTGGTGTAGGCGATGATGTGACTTCCATGTAAGATCTTATAGATTAGGCAGTTATATCATGACAAATTTACAATTTAAGGATCATGTCTATTATTAGAGCAGTACTAATAACGAAGTATACCCTAATTCTACAAAGTCAAATTAACGTGGTTGTTTGTAACAATGTAAACTCAAGCAAGCAAAATTCACTAATAATCAGGTCAAAGATAGGACCGAAAATCAAACCAACGAGAGATACAGCCAAAGACAAAGAGGTGAACAATGACGGGTTTAAGGTTAACAAGATCCAATGAACATCGAGGTCTACATGACGTGCTGTGAACCACATGTAGAGAAAGTCGAACACTTCACTTCTACCTGAAGTTTGTGCTGATTATGTCATACAGAATAACGATGAAAACTTCACGACCAAACAGTCTAGCAGATAGAAAAAAACTCCATTAAAATCATCCACCTGAGCTACAAATCTTCTCCAAAATCTCAATATTTATACACGCCTGTTGAGAATTGTGCATTCTCGGTATTTGCGTCAGTAGCAGTGACCTTCTTACATGCCTGAATATTAATACTTTCTACCACTTCATATGCCGTTCTTGATTTCAGCATCGCTGTTTTTATTTTCTGGTTCATGGATCACAAACCATCCATGAGCGACTAAAGAGATGATTGTAAAGCATTTGAGTGATTTTACGACATATTCTTTACCATTCAAAGTAGCACTGAACATTACTTTGCAGCTCATAAACCCAGACCTTAGACGTTACATGCTACCTAAAGTACTCACAGTTTTTAATTCACTGTTAAACCTTTTGCTTTACGCTTATAACTAAAGGTTCAATGAAGCACCACAAAATAACATTTAAATCTCATATCCCCAGTTATTTTTTTTCGACATGAATGTGATGAGTATTTTTAGTCTAAAAAGTGAAAAAACTTTGTTCCTACTTTTTGAAATTCATTTAGCACACTATCAAATTCAGTTCAGCATCTGAAATATTTTTCAGCTTTATACGTTGAAACCTAACAGATACCGACCACACAGCATTCGGAACGCAAAATGGCCGCCTCGTATCAGGCCGTTCAAGGTGACTGGGACAAAACGATCGGCGGCTTTTGAGTGAACCCAAAAATTTTACCGTGGTCAACCTTAATAGTGGATTGAATGGTCGATGCATTGAATTATTTTCTTGCTATACCTGAGCAGTTGAACATTTCCGACGATGACCTTAGATTCTTTCTAGCCCATTGATGTGAGCCAGTGTCTCAACTTAAGACCCTTGGGGACCAAGGTTGCTATGCTGTAGGGTGATATATTTACTAAGGGATTCTTACATAGTAAATGTAATTTCAGTGTTGAGTTTCAACAAAACTTCACTAGTTTTGGTAAATGATTCATTTACACTAAAGTTGTTGGAGGTTGTCATCTTAATCTCAGTGTAGGTTATTCTTTGGCTTATCCGTTTCCGAACAGTTGACAATTTTTTCGTCAGACGTATCAGAAGGTTGATGATCTTCAGCATCATATCACTAGTGTTAATTTTTCGCACACTACATGTTTATCTGACTTGCTAAGTCTTTTGTCAGAAGTTGCTGTAAGGTTTGTGCACGCTTCGTGAAGTCTATCTTTGGATTTGTCACACTACATAACACAGGTGATTGTTTGATGGCAGCCAGATTACTTCCATTTGTTCTTTGTGACCATGTTAAAATATGAGTTGTCATTTGAACTGAAGTCAAGGACGATAACAGTGAGAAAAGTTTAATAATTTCGGAATGGGTAAAAAAGATAAAAAGATACCTAGTGTAAATGATTTAAACATGTCGAAAGTAGCCTCATAATGTGAAATACGGTAAACACCTTAAAGCTAGCTGAAACAAATCGTCAGTGAGCTGTTAATTTGAGTGAAAGTTTGAGAAAAAAACAATCTACCGAATGTAAGGCTGTAGTAGGAGTCGAGTCGCGATTGACTGTAATCACCACTACAGGAAGACTATGTGCCAGTTACTAAGTTAGGTCTCGTGGAATCGAAAGCATACCGAAATCATGCCAAGGTTTACAAGCGAGACTAGTGAGCGTACACAAGTTCGTGCAAGGTCACAGAAAACGAAAGAATTTGCGTTTCCGGCACACTTAAACAAACAGGTACAGCAAAACAATTACTGGTACGATTTGTTATCATAATAGTTTCCTTTATACCAATCGTGTTCTCTTCATACAAGCAGGTCACTACAAGGCTGAGGATATATTCTTCGTAGCGAAGATGGTACTTTTGTAACTTTACAACAAAAAGAGCTTGAGTAATGCAAGAGCACATTAAATAATAACGCCACAAACGTAGCGCTAATGACCTTCTTGAAGAACAGTATTTTCAAACATTTCAACGATCTCTTTTTAAGTACGTCGTTGAAAGTTAACCAGTAGGACTCGGTGGGACTCTCAGTTATTCTGGGCATTGACTTCGTGTGTCTGAAACTGTATTACTCAAATAAAGACGTTCCCCCTGGTCTGATTATAGTTTGTTCTGCTGTACTGAGGAGGCGGCTTCAATTTTACCAAGACCGCTTAGCTTGATGTTCTCACATTCGCTGAGCAGAGTCCCGGTGTCAGAAAATTGAAGGTAGGTTAATTATACACGAATTTTTTGGAGGAAGTCAACGCACCAAGCTTTCAGGCTGAAAACCGGTACAACTTACCTCAATACCCTCAAAATATATGGAGTCCATTAAATGCGAATGTCAAGGTAAACACATACTATCTATAAACTTCAATTTCTTTTATGATTAAGTTTACTTAGGTATCTTTTTTGATGCATCGGTGATCCACTGCTACTAGATAAAGAAGCTCGTTAAATGAAAGCTTCTATTTCAACCAGATTCGTTTAACGCATTTGAACGTGATTGGACATTGAGGGTTGCGGCAAATCTTCAAAGTATGCGTTATGTGATTAAGTTATTTGTGAATCATACGGGGTATTTGCTTGATTGATTAACTAGAAGACATTGCATTCATTAATATACACTCCTCCAAACATCGGTTTTACTTTGTGCTGTACATATGACGTGAAATCTTGACTCATAATACATTATTCAGATTTCTCCATTAAATACAACAGACTGGTTATTAGATAGCGGCATTTCTTACGCTTGTTTACAGTTTTTAGTAAAATTGAAAGTTCAGGAATTCAGACAGCTTCTGATGACATGTGCCGGTTTTATTTATGACCTTGCCAATCATGTTTATATATTTTCGTTCACTTATGTATCTGTAGTCTCATTAATTGTTCATACTTAATACACTAACTTTACAAATAGTACTAATCACTGCGAATGGAGTTGGATCTGCTGGTAATGCATCTCTTGCACCCAACTATTACCGTCCGTTTGCTACTTAAGTAGCAAACGGGTATATTGCTCATTTGTTACTAGCGGCAATTAGTCACATTATGTGTGGATGTCGTTGACAAATTATATTGCATCACCGTTATCACGTAAGATCAAATTGGCGCCAAAAACGGGAAATACGTGCAAGTCGAACATACAAAAACATTACACAGGTTGAAATCATGAGTCAGTTGAAGCTAGACCACTATTGAAAACCTGGAAGCACTGGACGGCCGTTTCGTCCTGGTCTGGGACTCCTCAGCAGTCCGCATCCACGATCCCGCACCACGCGGGGCTCGAACCCAGGACCTACTGGCTTCGCGCGCGAGCACTTAACCACTAGAGCACTGAGCCGGCATCCAACGATGTTAATGTCTAGCTTCAACCAATCCACGAAGTTGCGCTACCGTACACCATTGTCTTCAGTGAGTTGTTATCTCTCAACAGACCGGTTGAACTCCACTGGTAACGGCTTCTCACTAGAACTCCAGGAGTTTTTCTTGAAGTCAGTTGATTATTATCAGAATGGGTTTTGTGGAGAGTTTTAGAAATTTCACAGGCTGAAATCATGAGTCAGTTGAAGCTAGATACCGGCTCAGTGGTCTAGTGGTTAAGTGCTCTCGCGCGAAGCCAGTAGGTCCTGGGTTCGAGGCCTGCGTGGTGCGGGATCGTGGATGCGCACTGCTGAGGAGTCCCATACGAGGACGAAACGGCCGTCCAGTACTTCCAGGTTTTCAATGGTGGTCTAGCTTCAACTGACTCATGATTTCAACCTGTGAAATTTCTAAAACTCTCCACAAAACCCATTCTGACAAAAACATTAGTACAATTAACAATGTGATGATCAATAATGGGATACATAGAGCATATGCTTTATGACTAGTTAGTGGTTTTCCAAAAGTATAAACAGAATGCGAGCGTATAAAATCTACTTCCTGGTGAAATCCTCTACAGTGAAATCCAATCTAATAGTCTTATAAATCATTGCGAAATTTCGTAAAAATATGATAAATCGACCTTGTGTTATCCCAAAATAATGAGGATTAAGTGTCAGATTTTTCTCAGTCAGCACGGTCACATGCGTACCTAATGGTGTACGAGCTAAAACTCAGTACCTCAATATAAAGCTTTCCGTTTCATGAAATGTCAATTAGCTTCAGCATGATGTTATCAATCCCCTTTTTTCTATTGTCCCTCTTCTGAAAGCACACGAACGGTTATCCATAAGTCAGTGACTAAAAACAGCATTTAGCTATTACAAACTTTATAAATGGGCACAAATTCATTCGATGTAAGCTAATTGCAATATCAGTTGTTTTAAAAAGCCTTGTGATCGTTGCAAATTCTGGTGTATGACTCTTCGTTATGAGCAAATATTTAGAATAACAGGTGGTCATTATTTCGCAGTTACACATAACTAGCAGTGTCACATACTACAGTCCCGTTAATCACATGCCGACCAACATCCTATTTTTCATGCATTCATCTTCAGAACATATTTAACTGACAAGAATTTAACCCTTAAGTTCACCACCAACTCAACGTTGAAAAATTAAATGTTTAGAAAATAACGCAGATCTGAATAAGGTAAGCACGATCACAACTTTAAGCATAGTACAAGTGACCTAATCTTTAAAATTCAATTCGTGTGCATTTAAGTACTTAGAACAGTACTATATGTTCATGACCAGTAACTGCTCTGTTATTCTAATATCTATATCATTTAAGTCTGGTCCTGTTCATGAGGTCATTCGTAAGAACAGTTAATGGTAAATCTCTCTGCAGCCAAAATTATTTGGCACCCAATACAACAAGTACGAAGCAGGCAATCGTTAGTAATGATGACCAATATGAACATCTCACAACCACACGCTTACATAGGATTGCCATAAAAACACTTATTCCATTCACTTGCCCACCAGTCCCAGGAAGAAAAGGTAAAAGTGGGTTTATAGATTCTGTTTGGGACACGTCAACCCAAAAGATATTTCAAACTACATTAGTAAAAGAAGTGGTAGGGTGCAAGATAAAAAATCTAAAGACTTGATAAATTTAAGGTCTTTGCACCATACTTCATTTAAACTGCTAAACACGTCATTATAGTTCTACATCGTGAAATGTACTTATGTATTTGTATTAGCCCTTCTATTAATTGAAGTTTCTAGGGATTTGTTATCCCAGTATTTCGTCGCTAAGCATATACAATAAAAATGGTCTTAAACAACTAGATCAGAATTCGTTTGTTAATTGTATGTGTCTGTTGGAGTTTAAGTAGGTCTTAATCTGTAGATATTTGTTTCAGACCACCAGTATATCTTCAATATCAATCCTCATTTTAGTGACGAATCTCTTTTGAATGTATGGTTCTGAAAAACTTTTGTCTTGTGGGTTGTACAGACCCATGTAATGAAGTTGTTCGAGTAAAGGATGCATCAGGACACTGGAAAACGTTTTACGTGCGCGATAAGTTAGATACTGGGTATGTTTATAAGGTTCTCTAATAATGGAAGCTTTCAGTGGATTTAGCCAAATAGATCTCGTTTTTGACAAAGTGTCTAAAAGATCATTCGCTTTAAAACGTATCCTATGCCATTCAAAGGATGATGAAAGTAAGGCTTTAAAAGAAGCTAATTTCCAATTGAATCTCCCTGATCATCCCAACTTGCTTTCCTGTATCGCGAGTGGCCTACAACATGTCTCTAGACGTAAACAAGGAGCTATTTCAGAAGTTCTTTTGGTGTTATCTTATAGCAAGGTATGTTTTAATGTATGTCAAATGAAGTATTTTAGCGAGGTACGTTGCAACGTGAAATTGACCATAGATCTGCACGTAACGTTATGTTCCCCCTGTACCTTATAAAGACCATGATGATTGGTATTTGCGATGGCCTTATTGCTCTTCTTTCTTTTGATATTCCAATGTCTCATCGGTAAGACAATTATACTTGTAGACATATTTCTCTATAGAGATATAAAGCCTGGGAATGTTCTTTTGTTTGAAGAAATGAGACCAGTTTTAATGGATTTTGGCTCTGCCACTCCCTCCATTCTTCCTATTGAGAGCATTAGAGATGCCGAAAAATGGAAGGTAACATTTTGTTACTAGATCTCGTTTTTCAAGGAGTTTGCTGAGGAAAACTGTTCACTAACTTATCGGGCTCCAGAGTTGTTTAATCCAATAACTTACGAAACCATAACCGAGAAAGCTGATGTTTGGGCAAGCACTTTCTTACGGCTTTTTATGCCTGAATACTTATTTTAGTCCCTAGGATGTCTCTTTTATGCTCTGATTTTTTTCAAATCCCCAATGGATTTCGTTCATGCGCGGGGTGATAGTGTTGCTCTTGCTGCTTGTTCAGCTAATATATATTTCCCAATAGATTCGTGTTCAAAGTAAGTGTTTTTTAAAGACATTTTATAGTTATCAAAATATTATCGTGATTTTGCGATGGCTAATCACCTTTTGATGCGATTTTAGGATACAAAATTATTAGAGTAGCGATATGAATAAATTATATCTTTATTTTACATGCGATTTCAAGTTGCTTAATCTAATGCCCACGTTAAAACCTGGTCGATGAAGTTTAATCAGCTCTAAGAACCAGTCTAACATAATATTCGCCCCTCAATAGAAATAAGGCCCTCTAATTTAGTCTGACGTCATCAGCTATCGCCTTGTTCTTAGACCAAGTTTTTTAAGGTAACTCAATGCAATATTAACGTTGTTACGACTGTTCTGTTCTGTACGGTATACCACTCAATAAAACATTCTTTTTTACTCTCCTTTATTTAATTTTTCAGAGTTCCACCAGAATTGATAAAGTTAATGAAAGCAATGCTGTCCGCTAATCCTCAAGATCGTCCCTCACTTACTCAAATTGTGGAGTCCTTCAAAAACCTACATGAAGAAATCATGTATTGTAACAATCAAAGTGCAATAACTTATTCTTTGTAATCTTGACTTAGTTTGACTAAATCCCACATGAAATCTAACCGTAAATCTTTCAATCTTCTACTCTTTCTCTATACTATTTACGAAATACTGAGAAGTCTTTCTAAACTTTTTACCTTGACTTTTATTCTCTGTACTTTTTAATATTCGACACAATATTGCATGGAATTCCAGAACGGTTTTGGCTTTTGGTCGAAAATGAAATATTACTAAATATTTCACAAATACATTTTTTGAGGGCTTTTATATGGCGGAGCACCCGAGCCGAAGCAAGATGCTGTATAGTGTAGTCGAGCTGTTAAGATTCATAAGTTAACTAGTTTAATGCAACTCAATCCGTAGGTTTCATGAATGTTCATACTCGCAGAAGCAGTTTCATGAGTCCTGAGGTTAGTAACCATCGATTTCTATCTTACCTAGGTACTTATCAGATCATCTTAGTTGTATTATCACAAATAAAATCAATGTAAAATAAAATACAAGTTTGGATCCGCGTAGAACACAGCAGTGAACAAAGTCAAGACGACAAATACCTTACTATGAATAGTATCAGAAGCGAGGTGAAGTTTAATCTCGGACTGTTTCAGCTTAATGGACTGTCCGCGAAATTCCGTTGCATCCACTGCTTAAAAAGTATTTCGACATTTATTTGCTCGACGGATTGTTATTGCGGTGACCAGGTCCTAAAATCCGCAATCTATTGAGTGATGTAGCGGAAAGGGTTACCAACTAAATAATTATTTTATTATATGCAGAAAAAACAGCAACTTACTGACAGCCAACCTTTGGTAGGTACGTTATTGTAAATGTCTTAGATTACAGTTTATGTGATTTGACAAACTCCAACCACCTATATCTATCTATGTGAATGTTTCGTTACGAATAATCTAAAAATGGCACGATTACTTGGCTAAATAAGGTAACTAGGGTGTTCAACTCATGAACTCTTCATCGTCCAATTTTGTCTAGTCTTTATGACCCGAACTTTACATATACAGTTATTAAAATGCTTTAGAATATGTACGCTACCAGCTGTCATCAAACAACATAAGAGGTATAATGTCTAGATTTCTCATATATAAATGTTCGTTGTACAAAAAAGTAATTATTGAATATAGAAAAAAATAAAATTCAGCACTATTATAAAAATAAACGTATTATGTACAGGAAACGAGAAAAAAAGTAAACAATATAGTAAAGTAGAAAATAGAAAAACAAAAACTGAAACCGATAAAAAATACATGCATTATTATTGGTCGTTTTTCAACAATTTAAATAAACATTATGCTCATGTTCATGAATGCTACTAGTAATAAACAATTGGATTAGCACAGACCAATTAATGGCTTTTAAAGTAGATATATGTTAATCGAAGAAAAAACAAAATGGTTATATGAAAGACAGTTTTAATTTTACGAAGAGAATTAGTTACATATTAAAGAAAGTTTTTTTAGAAAAATAATTAGTATAAATTATTCTAATACTAAATATATATAAATATTATATTGATTGATTCTATTGTCTTCTATCTATATCGTTTAATTAGTCTTAAATGAATATAAGCTACACACAAGGCTAAAATTGCAATCACAAATATACCCAATTCATTTAGCCAAACTGCCCATTTTGATCGATATTCAATTGCTTGCGATTCTAAATACTGTACACCGCTAATGCTGTATAATTAAGTGAAAATAAATAAAAAACGTGAGAATAGTAACAGATGTTTTAATTAAATCAATATCTTTTAAGTGTTGAACCAGCACATACCCACATGAAGTACAAGTGTAAATGTGTTGAAGATTATCTACTAAAAAGTATACAAACATAGGAAGTTTCACTGTTTTGATAGTTTTCAGTTCTATTGGAAAAACACTGCATTTCAGGTTAACAGGTTGATGCATTTCGAACCAGTTTACACATTTTATATTGGGGTGATCAGTGTGTATAGGTAAATTATTGTACCGTACAATTTACAGTTGATTTCCTATCTTCGAGGAAATATCTGTAGGTAGGAAATCTGGATCGATATTTTACTACAAGCCGTTCCTGATATACAACTGTTATTCATCATAACTATCATAAACAACCTAGCCAACCTTGAGATATCGTCGCTAACCATTCGGAATGTTTCGTCTAATGATAATATCCATGAGACTATTTTGAAAATAGATGGGGGACTCGTTCATACAGGCAGTGATCTCATCAACCACCACGAGCTGTTTGTCACCTATGGAGAAATTCTCATGAACCACTTCTATTTGAGCTTTACTGGGGATGACAATGTCAGGAAAGACCATGAAAGCTTCAGAATCAAATCATTCAGGTTACAGAACGCAATTGCACCAAGATTGTAGACCTTTATTACAAACTCGTATTTCGATAGTCTGAGATTGACAGTTTAAAGAAGTGATGAAATGTAGAACATATATAAAAATATATACTCAAAGGTGTTTAAGAATTTACGTGTACTTACGGAAGCAAGTACACAACGAAAGAACGGGGGGTCTACAGGGTTTTCCGAACACATTCCCCATACGTTGTTTCTGAAAGGAAGTGCAGGATTCACAAGTGCGATCACTACACATAGTGGACGCAACGTGGGTGCCGCAAATGCGTTTCAAATAATCAACAAGTAGCATATGCCACCTTACTCTGCTTTTCAGAGACCATTTACATTACGCGCTTTCAACCTGACCTTTGTATACAGAAAGTGATAGACTTCTAATCTCAGTGGTACCGTTTGTCAATTACATTATCTCTATTGTACTTTATAAGTAAAAAAAGAGACTGATATTCGCTCCTGACGTTAACTTTAGTGTTACGTCAACTAGGTAACCTTAGTTATCACTCATTTATTAGGAATTTGTTTTTTATTCATTGTTCTTTTATTATATATACACAACCAACTGAATTCGATTAAAAGGAGTATTAGCTTATGTATTAGAAATATAGTGATATTACATTGTAATGATTTAAGAAAATAAGATAGAACTAATTACCAGATAGATTCGAAATTTTGAATTTTTCCAATTCCAGTTTGAAAGTACTCAGTGTTTTTCCATTCATTTATCAATAATGATGTTGCATTTGAATAAGGCGAATCACTTGCATTATTGAGATTAAAGTCTACAGATGATAATTTTGAATAAGGTAATGTTGTTTCAGGACAAAATGTCATATCAAATAATTCATTTATTGTTAATATGTTTATAGCATAACGTAGTATTGAAATATAACGAAATAATTGAAGCCATTTCCATAAAGTTGATATATTTACTAAATAACCACTCGTTACCTAAAAAATAAATAAACAAAACGTATTTTGTAAGGAAAAGTTAAAATAAGACAAACTTCATGAAATTGTGTGGTGATAAGAGATAATATTACGATAGTTTGGCATTATTCTGAGTAAGAACAGTAACTGTGCATAAAAGTGATGAGAGATAAAGTAAACTAGTGTACAATATGAGTAATAACTAGATTTCAGAGAGATACAATTCGATCAACAATTAGTTACATTCATTAAATTAACAAGCAAATACTGATAATTTGAGCCTATTAAAAAGATAAACGGAGCTGTTACTCAATAGTTTGTAGTTTCAACTAGTTGATTTATCGTATAAAGCAACCATAAATAATTTTATTAAGTACCATACACTTGGTTACATTAATGATTCCCCAGCACCAATTGTTCAATATTGTAAAGAAAATTCCTATTTAACTTGTAATTATTCGAAAATATCTTTTATAATTATTTTTTAATAGCCAATATATGACGACCCAAATTCAATCAGGGAATATTTTTGTTCAGGTTAGTTGTTACAACTATTTCATTGCATATATCATAAATTAGGTGAATAGATTTCACTATATTCGTCCCTCTTTTTTCAAAGGATAAACAAGACGGAAAATATCTCAATAAATCCAATATTTCTGTTTGAGTTTCCCACTATTGACCATTTCAAACATTTACCAACCTTTTATAACAATACCTGAGTACATACACTTAGCATTCATATATATTCAGTTCAAATACATTTAAAACAGGAAAGTTATTTGCAATATTTGTATAGTTGAGAAATAGGTCGTCTAAACATTTCTGCAGACTATTAAATTCTACTGTCGGGATGCGATTCTCTCCCTCGAAATGCAAAATGTTGCTTCAGGATTGGGTTACATCCACACCTGAACTAGTGATAGGGAGTGAAGTAGTTGAGTGTGTCGACCGCTTCACTTATCTTGGAAGTCTCATCAGCCCTTGTGGTTTAGTGTGTGACGAAATCTCAGCACGGATACAGAAGGCTCGACTAGCTTTTGCCAACTTGCGTCATTTATGGCGTAGGCGAGATATCCGTCTATCAACCAAAGGACGTGTTTACTGCGCAGCAGTTCGTTCCGTCCTACTTTATGGCAGTGAAACATGGCCGGTAAGAGTAGGGGATATTCGTAGGCTACTAGTATTCGATCATAGGTGTCTTCGAAACATTGCTCGTATATCATGGGACCATCGAGTAAGTAACACAGTTGTTAGGAAACGGGTACTAGGTAAGGATGGCAAATCAATTGATGAAGTAGTGAAAATTCATCAGTTGAGATGGCTGGGACACGTGTTACATATGCCCAACCACCGACTACCTCGACGTGCGATGCTCAATGGTATAGGAGTAGGTTGGAAGAAAGCTAGGGGCGGCCAAACCAAAACATGGCACAAGTCCATGAAGTCACTGACAAGTGAACTGAGCCATGTTGTTAGGTGTAGACTGCCTGGTTGGGGACTGCGAGATGATAGCAACCGATGGTTAGAGACCCTGAATGACATGGCTCAAAATCGTTTGCAAAGGCGCTGGTGCATTCACTCTTTGTGTTCTCCTGATTTCTAATATCTTGAATCATCTTTGTTTTTTTTCTCTTTCCAAATTTATTTCACTGGATTATACTCTCTAAATAACATCTCCAAACCCTAATCTTCCCGATTACTGCTTATACTCTTATTACCTCTA